TTAGAACGGGCGTGTCGCCTTCTGTCCTGCCAGTGTTGGCAGGACATTAATTAAAATGTCGAACTCGGACTTCATTTTAAGGACATTTCGGCCAGGGGTGTAGAGCTATATTTGTTTAAGCACCGGATTGGCAAAACCGGAGAGTGTGTGCACCAGTCTGCCTTGATCTATGAATTCATGTCTGTGACACTCACAGTATCTGCTGCCCACAGCTGTTTTATAGAAGGAAAACCTCCTTCACTTCATGAAATCTCTGCAGCACCAGGAGGCATATGGCGTTATATTTGTGCCTCTATCCTGAGCACGCAATGAAACATGTTGAGCATAGAAAATGCTATTGAGCGCGCACTTGAACATTTTTGAGCAGAGAGAAATATATTTTCTCTCATAAAACTCCTGCTCCGTGCGCAAGCAGACCGCTGCACGCACTCTCCCCCGCTCGCTCGACCTCTCCAGCCTGTGCGCGCTCAGCTTTGCCTGCGCTCGCTCAGCTTTGCCTGCGCTCGCTCAAGTTGTCACAGCGTTACAAATGTGCCACAAAACCAACCAATCGGAGAACTCGAGAAGGTCAATTCTGATTGGCTGGTCGTCTCCAATCATATCTTCTATCTGAGATGAGAGAGGGATTTTCGGTTGCCATCAGGCTGTTGACGTTCTTATTACACATCTATCGTTGACATTTACAGGACATGACAGACTCGAATGAAGAGAATAGCACGCCACAGTGTCAGGTGAGTAATACATTTCTAGTTTTCTGATATCACGTTATTGTTTGCAATGCCTGAGTTTGCTAGCCGGCAACATAGCTAGGGTAGTTTAAGCAAACCGCTAACAAACCGTAGCCTACATGTAGCTACATGAACCCTTCTGAGGTATTGATTACTTGCTGTAAGCATTAGAGGTGGCAGAATGACAAAACATGTTTCTCTCTCTATCACAATGTTGGGTTGACCAGAACCTGGACCAACTTCTGTTTCCTGTTCTACAATGGGCATAGAGTTTGCGTTAATTTTCAACCGGACAGATGAGGCTAGGATACCGGAGAAAGTTAGCAACACACGTTAACCATGAACAGCCTATTAATCCGTTCTCCTAATGTTATTTCCTCCAACGTTGTGGAATTAGAGAAAAGGGGCTTCTTAACGTGCTTTTATCCGGGGTGGAGGGAGTTACATATTAGTTAAATATAACATTGGGGCGTGTGATTGTAGTGGGTGGAGGTGAGGAAATGAGAATATCCATTTTAGAGTTCAAGCTAGTATAATATAGTTCACGTTACACAATAATAAGGAAGAGAGCTATTTGTGTGATACATCGCTATTGATATGGATTTAGAGTGCATATTTGAGACTTCTAAACAGTAAACTAAAACGTAACTTATGGGTGAGCGTTTTTAGCAGAGTCATATAATGTCCTTGTGATTCTGTTCATTATTACCTGTCTGTATAATGTTGCAGCTCAGCTGATGTTGGATTGATGGCAAAGGGAGAGGGACTTAAGTGAGAGTGAAAACACAAGGTAAGTTTAAAATAGGTCAGCAATTTCCCATCCTATAGGTTGCTAGATGTATCTAACCCTTTCTCCTGTCTCCCTCTCTCAGCACAAGAACCCCACGGGGATTCAATGGAGCCTGAAGACCTGCACTGAGACCCTCACCCTGCACCTGAGTCTCAACTCCCAGAGTTTTGCAAGCCTCTCCCTGTTCTTTATTTTTGATTAAACAGACATTAAGCTTCCCAATGGTGTGGTCTTCGTTTTGTGAAAAATATGATTACCTCACATACTGTATGTTGTTGCTGTTGTTGTCTTTTGTGATAGTTAAATTGCTCCTGCTGACTTGAGCCAGCCATTCTTTCCTCCTCTCTGTGTCAGTGGGGAAACTTTACATGTGTACTCCTTTCTCTGAGTGCTTGGAGCATCCCCCGGCAGCACAGCAAACCATGGGGGAGACGATATGCCAGGACAACACAGAGGAAAAGGCACACACAAACTGCATGCATGCTATTCAATGTTTATTGAATTCCATTTATTTACTATGGATGTTCCTAAAACAACACATTTAACATCATCATCATGCTGCTGCTAGTCCTTTGACTCATTGTGCTGTCAGTTGACAATAATTGATAGGCACCTGTGGGTCTCCTGTCCTTTCTGAAAGTCATAAAGATGACATTAGTACTTTAGATTACTTATGTCCTCAATTACCAAGGGATTACTGAAACCACCATGAATTAAAGAAATGGTAGAAATGTATCTAATCAGAATTTTGAAACCTTCCTTCCCTCCCTCTAAATATATCAATAAACATTAGGATGTGATGCTCCTGACTACCATACAGGTTTAAGAAGATAATATTTGTTTTAAAGAATTCAAAGCAATAAAGAACAGCAACAGGCTCTAACCAAGGCAACGTTAGCCTAACATGTATGTTAACAGGTAAGATAGCTGTTCACACTATGTATATTTTCTACTTTCTACGTTGTAATGCTATGTTATTTCTATTTAAGATGTTTACATTTTCGATTGTTTAATTATAGTCTTTTAACTGTCTAATGTACAATGCCTCCTTGTCTTTTGCTGCTGCAGCGTAAACATTTCCCCAATTGGTATCAATAAAGTACTTCTTATTTTATCTTAATCCTCAAATATTAGCACATTTTACTTAAAACAAACAAACACATTGATGTAACTACATACACATATCGATATGTTGTATACATATTGCAAATCAAAACCTTTATTGACCACTAATTACCAAAAATTGCATTTCTATCCTGTTATTAATGCATTCAAATCGTGATTCAAATGGCCCGCCACGAACTTCCGGGAACTTTCTGAGTCTCTCTGAACCACGTGACGATCAAGCATGTTGGACTTCCGCTGTAGCAACTCTTCTCTCGACATGGCGCTGGACCAGCCAATCAGAATTGACCTTCTCGAGTTCTCCGATTGGTTGGTTTTGTGGCACATTTGTAACGCTGTGACAACTTGAGCGAGCGCAGGCAAAGCTGAGCGCGCACAGGCTGGAGAGGTCAAGCGAGCGAGGGAGAGAGAGCGTGTGCAGCGGTCTGCTTGCGCACGGAGCAGGAGTTTTATGAGGAAATATATTTATCTGTGCTCAAAAATGTTCAAGTGCGCGCTCAATCGCATTTTCTATGCTCAACATGTTTCATTGCGTGCTCAGGATAGAGGCACAAATATAACGCCATAGAGGCAGCCTCTGAGAAGACGAGCGCGCAGTGCCTTTAACGCACCGCCTTCGCTGTGTTTACCTTCAGAATCATATGGCTAAAGAGCGACCGCAGGCTGATGTGTTTTAACCACACACCTCTACACACACACGACTTAAACGCAGACTTTTGTTCCTCCATGTTTCGTTGTTATTGTTTCACTGAGCGGACCCGCCCCTTTTTTTTCAAACGCTCCCTTTTTTGGTCCATCTGCGGCGGTAAAAGTGTTTGTGCGCTGTGATGATTCGGCTGTACCTTTAGTAATGAATATTAAATGTTGTGAGGAAATCTTTCCACCAATAATTCCAATAAGTAATCCAAAATGTATTCACTTCAGGTTTACGAAAGTAACTGTAATCAGATTACTCGTTTTTCAAATGTAACGCGAGCTGAATATAGTTACTTGATTTTTGTATTCTGATTACGTAATGCCGTTACATGTATTCCGTTACAACCCAACCCTGGCCCTAATATATAATATTCTAGAAAGATCTCCTGAACTTCCCCACTCAATCTATCAAGACCCGAGCAGTTCTACCAGAAGTCCAAGGTAAAGGCACAGGCCGGCGCATACCGCTCATGAGGCGCATTCACACCGCAGTACTTTTCCCACAAAGGTTCATGAGAACTTAGTTCATGAGAACTCTTTAGTTCTCATGAACTAAGTACAGATCGCGTTCACACCGGAATAAGTCCCTGGGGGTGGATTAGGCAAATGAAGCCGCTGACGTCACTTCTTCTTCTTCTGCTTTGGGTTTACTGGCTTCTACTGAAGCCTTCCGAGTAAATCGCCAGAAGCGCCGACACCTCCTCATCTCCACCGCTCCCATGTTTTATTTTGTGTTGCCATAAATTAGTGTCTCTGCGTTTCTGCGCTGGGCTAATGCTAATGCTAATAATGCTAATGCGAGGATAATAAAATGGCGGCTTCACAAAACTTTTTGGGAGTTTTACGGGGCGTGGTTTGCAATCCGCCCAGCCAATCAGAAATATAGCTCTTTTCTCACAAGAGAGCCGCACGAAAGTCCCTGCTCTCTAGCAGGGACTTTCGTGGGGGTAAAAAGGTTCTCATGAACTAATTTTAGTACCGGCTCTTTTTGGTGTGAAAGCGACAAAAGAGTTCTCATGAACTAAGTTCTCATGAACCTTTGTGGGAAAAGTACTGCGGTGTGAATGCGCCTCATCCCTCACCATATGAACTCTGACCCCTCAAGTGTAAAAGTGAAGAGACACATGTGTCAACTCCTTTTTAGAATAGATATTTTTATTAGAGATTTGTTTGTGTTTGTTCTTAGTGTCAGGATGGATCCCTTGTCTTTTTCTCTACAAACAAAATCTACCTACGGGTACAAATAAATAACCTGAACCTGTGGTGTGTAACATTATTTCAGTTTGAAATAATAATAATTCAGTTTGAACATGTTTGTTCAGTTGACATGTTCTTCAGTGAGATGACTAAAGGTTGTAGTTATTTGCTGAGTTATCAGAATCAGAAATCCTTTATCCTGCCGCAGAAGCAAAGGTACAGTGCAGATAAAGGGCAAAAACGAGAAAGAGTAGACTTATATATTAAAGAAAGAGACAAGCACACTTTATTAAGAAATATAAAAAAGTACAAGTGTGACATTTATTTTGACAATGACATCTGACCAAAAGTGATCTCTTTTAGTTCTGTGAACAAAGTCAGAATTCTGAGTTTTATCTCAGAACAAACTCACTAATTATGTATTTTGCCTTCTGCCTTCTGGTGTTCCTCTTCCTCTGCTGCAGATGAAGATCCCCTCGAAGAAGATGGCCCACATCCCTGTGTACACTGTGGGCTTCCACAGCACTCCGAAGAGCCACGGACACAAGAGCCAAGTGTATAAGTGAGTCTGTCACCATGGAGACTGTCAGGGCCATGTGTACTTTAAAGCTGATTTAAAATGAGCGCCTTGTGCATTAATGAGTCAAAAAAACAATGGAAATTAGCAAGTTTATTTTTCAATAAAGATCGATTTATGGTCGATTTAAAGGTTTGGTTTACAGAGAAGAGATAACATCTGATCTTTTACAACAAACACTGTATGATCTTTTTAGGTTTTTACTACTCAAATAAAAATTATTCTAGTAATCCCCAATTTGTTTAAATGTAACAGTACTCGGATTACATCTTTCATGTCACTGTAGGTGAATTAAATTACCTTTGTATGTATCATGATAACGTAATCCCAGATACTCCCCAAGCCTGGTTAAAGGGTAATACAAGTGTCAGTCTCCAGGGCCCATTAGCAGGACCCATTACTTTATTATAGTTTTTCCACTGTACGTGACTATGTTCTGATGCTGAGGAGGATATGTATTTACTACTTCCCACCTCAGAGCAGAATAGCTCATTTAAAATTGTAGTGAAGTACAGTACTTGAGTAAATGTACTTAGTTACTTCCCACCTCTGTGTGACACACAGGTCCTCAGCGTACCTTCAGCCGGTCACTGTGTGTTCTCTCAAAGGACAGCGGCTCTGGGTTAAGAACACAGGTCAGATCTATTTCAGTCTGCAGCTGATTGATAACCTGCTGCAGCGTAAGCAGTGACCCGACCAATCACAGATAGCAGACTCAATCCAATCAGCAGCGGCGACCCCACCCATGCTTTGTTATGTCATCAGTGCAGCCTCCATTATGTCATAATTACCCAGCTGCAGTAATCCACTCTCTGCCTCTGACAGGGATGAGAGAGCAGAGAGGGTGCACTACTTAGGTTACCAGAAATACACCCAGAAAGTGAGAACAGTCCTCCAGATTCTACATGTTCTCTTGTGTACAATTCTTTGTGCACACTATTATCAGAACATGTTTCACAAATAATCCTATTTCAAAGTGGGAGGGACATGTCCCCAGTGTCCCCAGGATAAGTGCCGCCTATGAACACAACCCTCTCCCCCCCTGCAGGTCCCTGCGCAGCCTGTCCCGGCGCCCGGTGGAGGAGGAGTTCCCCCACCTGTACGCTCAGGGCTGCACGCTGCGGGACGTCTGCGCTGAGTGTACCAAGTTCGTGGCTGACGTGATCTCGTCCAGCCGCCGCAGCGTGGACATCCTCAACAACACCCCCAAGAGGGAGGCCAGGGCGGCCCCCCAGAGACCACAGCTGCATCGCCAGTCACACCTGGAGACTGACCCTCGCGGTCCCCCTCACCCACAGGGCCCCGCCCAGCTCCCTCCACATTCCCATCAGCATCATCCACAGCAGCAGCGGCCTCATGCCTCATCAGCGGCTCCTCTCCACACCAACACCATCAACAATGGGAACCAATGAGGAGATTGGCTGACCTTTTATCCCCCCCACACACACACACACACACACACACACACACACACACACACACACACACACACACACACACACACACACACACACACACACACACACACACACACACCACACACACACACACACACACACACACACACACACACACACACACACACACACACACACACACACGCCAACCCTCCCGATTTTTGCGGGAGACTCCCGATTTCACTGCCCTCTCCCGGTTTCCTCCCGGGGTCATATTTCTCCCGATTTCTGACAAAATCAGATTTACTCAGGACTGTTTCCACTCAGACTTTAATACAGCTACACCATTGTGTGGTTTCCATGGTAGCGCGTCTCTTTAGTAGCGCGCGCAACTGAAAGTCCGAGAGGGTGAGGCCGATAGTCACAGAAAACTGAACAAGAATCGACAACTCGACCCTCTGCTCACTCCTTTCCTGTAAAATACAGGTCCAGCCCACAAATATGCTCCATCAAGGATGGTGCTACAGGCCGCACTTACAACTACAATAAGCATGTTAATGTTAATCTAATACAGCTCCGGCGATCCACTAGCACCCCCCCCCCCCCCTGAAGCTGAACCTAATATTTTTTTATTTAAACGTAATATTATTCCTTTCAACTAACTTAATACAGTTATGTGAAATCTGTTGACATAATACTTTATAGTAATTTAAATTAAATAATATAATAATTTGATTAAAGTCAACGTTTCAGTTTTTTCAGTACACACACATAGAGCCTTCCTATGGTCACTTTATAATGTTGCAGTAACCATCAGTTCTGTATCTGCTTTACCTTCAGCACATGACCTCACCCCTGATGCTCACTGCTGCTTAAGGGCGGGAGAGGGTGGGGGAGGAAAGTGAGGGTGGTTGTGGGAGTAAACACTGTGAGAAAGTAGGTGTGTGGTGGTAGTTTGAGGACAATAGCCACACAGCATAAAGTAAACATGTAACCCTGTGTATCATTTTAGCTCTCTTTGGTTGCCTTGTTTTTCATGAATGTAACTTAGGACACAGAAACAGAGTTGTAAAATGACAGGCCTGTACGCAGAACAATGACATTTATTTTTGGTCGACTGAAAAGGAATTGTACAGAGTGGCTGCTGCATAAAAAAGGTCCCTTTTGCATTTGAGACGTGCTTGTAGATGTGTATCTGGATGAGGTGTGAGTGTATCGGGGTGTAGCTGCATACCTTTTACTGACGCAGCATGCTGATGAAGCGAGCACTGAAGGTCCCGCCTCTCTCACCCCCCATGGACGCTTGCAATACGCTCCGGTTTTGTAAACACTAACCTCAACTGCAATAAAATGTAAAGACAACACGACAGTGCTGCGTTTGAGTTCAACTGTTCACTTCTGCGTGCTGCGGTCCACAGCGGCACACATGAATAGAACATGTTTTTTTATTTCTTGGAGACATATCCTATTAGTAAATATGAAATATACAAAAGTAACAAAAAAGAAACCTACTCTTGAAGGGATGATGTAAAAAATAATGGTACGTACAAAAAAACATTTTGTAAGAAAAGCACCCAACAAAGGTGACCCAACCATCTGAGGAAAAACTATTGTTAATAGAAGAACTATGCTGGGTGTGAGGATCTACAGCAGGGATCACCAACTACATTTGTCCAATGGCCAAAATGTATCCAATAGACACTATCGCGGGCCAGCGATTTTTATATAGCCCAGAATTTTGAAGTGGGGGGGGGTGCTAGTGGAGCACGCTCAGGTACTGTGGACCGCATAAAGCTTAGCAGACTCTTCACGCTAACGAAGGATCACTTCTAGGCAGGGTTGGGAGGGTTACTTTGTAAATGTAATCAGTTACTGAATACATGCTCTGAAAGTAATCAGAATACAGTTACAGGTCTTAAAAATGTATTCAGATTAATTTTAGAATACTTTTGGATTACTTTCTTTTCCATAACAGATGGGTATGTTTTGGTGAACAGGAGACACGTATTTTACTGTTTTAATGGCTTATCAAGAACTCAAACACAACATCTTGGTGTCATTCTGGACAGCTCCCTCTCATCTGCACCACACATAAAAAACATCACCCGGACTGCATTCTTTGTACTGTCTTAAAACCTTTCCTTAGAATATGTTATGAATTGTAAGGTGTCCTTGGGTGCTTTGAAAGGCGCCCCTAAATAGAATGAATTATCATTATTATGTATTATCTGAAACGATGTAATAACTTTTAAAACTTGCCACTTGCCCCATGCATTCAGCAGCAGCAGCAGGTCATTCACTTTGATTTGATCCCGTTATAAATGTCATCATCTCGACAATAAAGAAATGCTACATAAACGTTATCTTGCACATTTTATCGAACCATCTCCGTTTCTAACTTTCAATATAGTTTAAAAGAGATCTCTCTCTCTCATCTGCGTGCGGGGGCGGGGCCTCACAGACACGCTGCAGCTCTCTCTCGCTCACAGACATGCTGCAGCGCTGTGCAGTGTGCACACAGATCTGCCGGTAATGAATATTACATTTTGTGAGGAAACTTTTCCACCAATAATTCCAATAAGTATTCCAGAATGTATTCACTTCAGGTTTACGAAAGTAACTGTAATCAGATTACTCGTTTTTCAAATGTAACGCCAGCTGAATACAGTTAGCCTACTTGATTTTTGTATTCTGATTACGTAACACCGTTACATGTATTCCGTTACAACCCAACCCTGCTTCTAGGCTACTGTCCCGCAGCTCCTGCCTCTCTGTTGGACTCTGTCGCAGCGGGGCTACTGCTGTGCTGCGGAGCGCACAAAGCAGACACAACGAAGGATCACTTCTTGTTCAAGGCAGGAAAGGTTTTGCAGTACGCAGTCTACTGTCCCGCAGCTGCTGCCTCTCTGTTGGACTCCGGTACTGCACCTTACTCACGGGACGTTGAAAAAAAAAAATGGGTGGGAGACGAACGCAGTAACCACTCCGCCAACGCCACAGTCACCCCCGTCGTGCGGTCCGGATGTGGCCCGCGGGCCGCCAGTTGGTGATCACTGACCTCCTTCTGTTCCCCTTCTGTGTTTGTTTTTGTCTGTCTGTCTTCCTGGCTGGGCGTGGCTGACCTAATTCCGATTCCCGCCAACTCACCTCCTCAGCTGCTGCTCACCTCTCTGATTACAACTACTCACCTACACCTGCATATATAATCGGTTTCTTCATCCAGTATGCACCAGTTCGTCGTCTAATCACATTGGTAAAACGTCTTGGTCACTTAGCAAAACCTTAATCTCCAGTGTTCTTGTTTTTCTTACCTTGTGCTCTCTCTGTCCAGTATCCATCAACCTGCTCCTCTGCCTGCCGCGTCCAGCCACCATCCCTCCAGCTGTGTTCCTCCGTGCTTCCACGCACACCTGCCCCCCAGCCTGCTTGCTCTCGTCAGCTCTGGATCCCCGGCACACCTCGCCTGTGTTCCGCCGCGCTTCTCCGCACACCTGCTCCAGCCTGCTCGCTCTCGCCAACTCCGGATCCCCGTCTTCGGTCCTCCGCTCCTCCTCTGAGACACTCCCTGGTCCTGGACTTGTTGGAATATAAATCCCCTCTTCAGTTCAGTCTCAAGCCTGTTTTTGGATATTAAACCCTTTTGGCTTCATAACTTCTGTCTCCTCTCGTCAGTGTTCAGTATTGTGGGTTCACTCCTGTAAAGCGCTCGGAGAGCGTAACACTGGGTAATATATGCATTAGAACATTTTTATCAAATTTGTATCCATCTGTTTTCAAAGTGTTTCTCAGTTTGTTAGGTTCACCTAGCTAAAATGGATGAAGTACCGCAATTATTTAAAGGTCCCCTATTATACTGTTTTTCATCAATGTATTATTGGTCTCAGATATATACAAAACATGTCTCTGAAGTGTTTGGTTCCAAATACCAAACAGATAATTGTAGCATCCCATAATCCCCTCTGTATCAGCCTGGGGTAGGCATCCGGGGCTTTAGCCCCGGATGTTTTTTCTTTAGCCCCGGACAAATTCTCCCTCAATAATATAATACATTAACCTACTTTACCTATAGGACGGACGGCAGAAGTGTAATTTCCCATGTTCAGTGAATGCAACACAGAGGCAAGACGACGCCACCAGACCAATCAGAGAGTTGCATGGAAATAAACGTGTTTTATTGGCTGACAGGTACGTACCTCTTCTCTGTGACAATGTTTAAACTTTAAACTGTCAGCCCCGGACGCGGAGATTCTGAAGATGGACATTAGACATTTTTTTAATAAAAAAGACGGCAATTCTCAAGTGGTGGCTCACACAACAACCCCAGAGCCACCACCTGAGCCAGGTGAACAAGGTATGTACCTGTCAGTAAATGTACAAGTTATGCGAACATGTAAGCAAAGCATAAATTACAGCTACGTTGACGTTACTTTGAATCGCGCGGGTAAGCTAAACCGTTAGCAAGTAGCTATAGCTAGCCAGATATATTAAATAAACACTTTGTCATACAATATAAATGTTGTGTTTTTTAGCGTTACTTGGTGATTTCAAAGAAAGCTCTCTGGGAAATGTTGACTTACTGTCAGTGTTCGACATGAAGCTAGAAGCTACCTTACAGTAGTACACAGTTGATCCTGATTCCTTACTCACAGTTGGTGATTACTTTCCTGCATTTCAATGGACAGCATATAAAAAGGACATGTGAGCTTCATTGCTTAAGAGATCCTCACATGCTATCTCTTTTAAAAAAGAAGTGTCCAGTCAACAACAAAATATCAGTGATCGTATAGTGATAGTATATTTTTCATAAGCGATGTGAAACATTAAACTTAAAAAAACTCTGTGAGGGCCTAAGATATTCTACAAAATAATATTTAAAAACATTTTAGTTATATTTTTCATTAGTTTTACCAAAATAACTTGATTTAATTGTATTTAAAATAACATTTCCAAAGAAATAAATCCTTCGAATCTGCCTATTCAGTTTCTGTTGGAATGTGAAGGGTTAAACGAAAGAAGCCCCTCTCTGCGAGTCTGTGAAGACAGGAGCTGTTGGACTTCCAGCTATGAATTCACAGAGGGCCCGCTATATAGTAACTAAAACGAGAGAGTAATGTCAAATGACAGTACAATTGACCAATCATATCTTCCCTCTAAATGGGTGGGTGTTATTATCGCGGACTTTATGACAAGTTCCGCCCGCTGTGCAACTTTTCTTGTTTCCATAGCAACAACAACTTCCTGTCAACAGCGTTAACTCGCCTTCAAAATAAAAGCATGCCAAATTACACTTAAGACATACAACTGCAACGAAAGTAACAAACACAATGCAATATCCTTTTCAATTTCAAAGAACACAAATGGGGTTATTTACAGGTGTTGTTTTGTGTGGTCGAGGGTCGCTTTCATTGATGCGTTTTACACCCCGGGCCGTTGTTTTGATATTCCGCTGAAGTATACTCTGCTGTGACATAACTCGAGGGAAGGGGTGGGGGTCAGAGGGCCTAGGTATAAAAGTCACGGCTTGCCACTGCAAATAGCCAATCACACAAAAAACATATTGCTGTGACTGTGAGCATTAAATAATTAACATTAAACTAAACAAATGTGACCCACACAGTGTGTGATCACAATTTTATGTTTATATTTAATATCATTTTAGAAACCTGTTTAACAATGGACAGCAGGGGGCAGTAGATGGCAGGTTAACACTGCCGTAAACGGGTTTGTTGTGATTAGCGCCTGCCGTAAACGGACTGATGTGGAGACGGTGCTGCCGTTGGCTTGCCATTCTGGCAAGACCCGCCAAACGAGCAGCTACGAATTTGGTTGTTCATAATTTCTCCTGTTTTGCAGGTCAGTTTTGTGTACATATTGTCACAAGTGTTATAAGAATCCACGGTAGTGTTGTGTCACGATGTCCTAGTGTTTGAAGTGGTGTTTGGACGTTATTTATTCTCTTCAATGCTGCGTAGGAGACTGCCTCGTGGTTGCTGTGTGCGTGTGTGTGTAATGGCGGTCGCTATTTTAATGTAGCATAACTGAGCTTTGATCAAAGTGAATGCAAGTAAATGTAATTGTTTACAGCTCCTATACATTTTGCACTTACATATTTTCCAGGTTTATATCCTAAGTATTTTGTGTGTGTGTTGTGTCAAATGGTTAAGGGCATTAACAATTGTGTGTGTGTTGTGTCAAATGGTTAAGGGCATTAACAATTGTGTGTGCCAAATGAATAATAAATTCTGGCAAGACCCGCCAAACGAGCAGCTAAGAATTTGGTTGTTCATCATTTCTCCTGTTTTGCAGGAATACTATCTGTCATCGCGCCCTGCATAGCGGGGCTTGTTACACAAACACAACAGTACGTTATTGTCCTTAGAAAATAAAAACATACATTTTGTCCACCGACATAATACAGGCACCTTACCCTCAAGAGATCCTCACGTGCTATGAGAATCTCCCACAATCCATTGCCGTAACAAAGCTAATGCAGGCATACGTTTGTGACACTAGATGGCGCAATTGTGTATGTGCGTTTGGGGAGTCTTGCAGTAGAACATTTGACTGTAGCGCCGCCACTGTGGGCTAAGCCCCGAATGTTTCCAGGTCCAGGCGACGCCCCTGGTATCAGCCCTGTTTCACAAGTGCTGATTCTCTGTCTGTTACGACTTCTCCAACCTTATACTTTTCTCCAGAGTGCCGTGGTTCATTGTTTATTAATGTGTTTCTGCTGCATTTACTGACCGCTGCAGTGTTGGCTGCTCTTCCACGGGAGTTTATTCTCCTCCGTTAGCTCCCGGTTAGCTCACACTGCAGCGGCCGCTCTAAAGTATTCACTGTCCAACTCACACAAGCAGCTGATACATATCCCCAGTTCCAGTGGTGTAGTGGGCGTTGGACGCGGGGGTACGCCGTACACCCACTTATTTGGAGCATGATCTTTTTTTTAAGTCTAATAAATATAAAATCATTGCCAGTGTTATCAGTTGCAAGTGTGTATTTGTTGTAATAATGACGAAAACATAATACATTTCACAGTAATTAAAATAAAAACGATTTCCTTAAAAAAGTATGATTCATACTGACCCCGCGGTCACTGACCATAGTCACTGACACACCCACGGTGAGCCAGCTCGCCGCGCCCGCCGATTTTGCGGCAGCTCTTTCCCTCAAGAACACTAACGAAAAAGCTCTACAATGGCAGGCTAACATGTTTTACTTGACTTATTTTCTAAAAAGAATATAATTCACAAGAAGAAAGAGGCTAGCAGCACCGAAGCTACAAGTGAAGCTGCGAGTAATACATCATCAGAAGAGCCGCCTAAAGACGTGGATAATGCTAGCTAACGTGCACGTTAGCTGCGCTAGCAACGTTCCCCTGACTAGCTCAAGCTCACCTTTCCCAGAGGTGTGGACGGAGGAGATGTGGCGGAGGAAACAAGAGGCTACCGTGGATAGACTGCAAAGCTTGGAAACTGGGCTGCAAAGTTTGTTCATCCATTTCGGATTAATCAGTCTTCAAAACCCAAGGTGTGTGTGTGTGTGTGTGTGTGTGTGTGTGTGTGAAAAAAGCAGCGCGGTCTGCTTATTTGCAATGTAGGCTAGGCCTAATCAGAATAATGTTAAGTCCAGATTCAATGTTGTTTGCATAAGTATGGCTATATTTTTCGTTTTGTTTATTTAATAAGTTAATTTCAGGACAACTTTGGACATTTTGTTTATGAGTTTTAAATAGATTTTGAAAGTGGAGAGAGAGATGGAGAGAGAAGCAGCACTGTCTGCTTAGTTGCAATACTGTAGCTTATGCAATTTAGGCCTATAAATTGTTTATGTAACTTATGTGCCAGTGTGTCCATGGTTTTGAGTCTGTGTGTGTTGAGCGCAGCGCCGTCTGCTTTTTGCAGTACAGTAACTAAAGTAGGACTAAGCATACCGGTAGTTTCTGTGGACCTGTCTGCCCGTTTTGTGAGTGCACTGCGTGCATGCTCACTTGTGTGGCATTGTTTGGGATGACCTAATTAAAATAGCGTCCCCCCAGTAAAAAAAATCCCCACTACACCACTGCCCAGTTCCCCTTAGCCTAAGTGAATGTGTGTCAGTCTGAATTGACGCTGTTTGGCATCACAACGCTGTTATGAAAGTTTCTCTGGTATAAAATGGGTGATGTTAGCATAGCAACCGAAGCTAAACTGACTACTTGCTATTGCTATCCTATTGTGGCATAAACCGTTTTCTACAGGCACATTTTACCGGCGTATTTTTATTATGATTCTACTTGTAATAGTCGGACACGACAACCTGTGCAGCCCATGTATTGATTCCATCCGATAGCTGCTATAATACAAAACGTCTGCCTCTCTCCACAATGATCAATAACAGTGAACGGATGGTCAAAGTAAGGTACAAATAAACAGAATCACACGAAGCCTGGTTAGTGTTGCCTGACTTTATAAAGTGTGTTTATAAGCACTACTGCTTTTAGGCAGGCATGACAGTCGACCCATGTTCAGGGGAGGTGGGTTTAGTTTCCTGCACGCCTCGACGTAAGAGAGACGTAAGCGACGCCACCTCTTAGCTCCGAAGCTCTTGCCTCTAGACCGACAATTTTTTGGAGCTGGAAGTGAACCGGATTCCGTAGCTAAGAGCCGGCGC